GTATTTACTGGTGTATGTTTATAGCCTTTATTTTATTTTATTGTGTTTTATTTTATTTTTGAGACCAAGTCTCACTCTGTCACCCAGGCTGGAGCTCAGTGGCATGATCTCGGCTCACTGCAACCTCCACCTCCCGAGTTCAAGTGATTCTCCCGCCTCAGGCTCCTGACTAGCTGGGACTACAGGTGTACACCACCACACCTGGCTATTTTTTTTTGTATTTTTAGTAGAGACGGGGTTTCACCTTGTTGACCAGGCTGGTCTCAAACTCCTGACCTCAGGTGATCCACTCTCCTCGGCCTCCCAAAGTGCTGGGATTATAGCATGAGCCACCACAGCTGGCCTAGCCTTTCTTTTTTAAAAAGGTTTTTAAATTTATACACAGTAAAAATGACTCTTATGGCGTGCAGTCCGAATTGTGACACAGGCATGGAATCATGTTATCACCACCACAATCAAGAGAACATTCCCAGAACTTCTCCAGATTCCCCTGTGTTACTCCTTTGCAGTCCAACTCTCTGTCCAGCCCTAAGCTTTGGCAGCCTTTCTCTATAGTTCTCTTTGCCTGTGGTTTTCCTTTTCTAGAATGTAATACTCTTACAGTATACAGCTTCTTTCTCTTAGCATATTTCATTGGCAATTCATCCATGTTGTTGCATGTATCAACATTTTGTTCCTTTTCGTTGCTGAGTGGTAAGCCATCGTATCATGGCCAAGGGTTTGTCTCACCATTTGCCAGTTGAAGGACTTTGGGGTTGTTTCCAGGTGTTTTTTTTTTGTTTTGCTTTTTGAGACAGAATCTCGCTCTGTCGCCCAGTCTGGAGTGCAGTGGCACGATCTTGGCTCACTGCAACCAACGCCTCCCAGGTACAAGCAATTCTCTGCCTCAGCCTCCTGAGTAGCTGGGATTACAGACGTGCAGCACCACGCCTGGCTGATTTTGGTATTTTTAGTAGAGATGGGGTTTCACCATCCTGGCCAGGCTGATCTTGAATCCCTGACCTCGTGATCTACACACCTCGGCCTCCCAAAGTGCTGGGATTACAGGTGTGAGCCACCGCGCCCGGCCTCCAGTTTTAATGATTACGAATATAGCTCTTACAAGCATTTGCATATAGGTTTCTATGTGAACATGTATTTTCATTTATCTTGCATAAATACATAGCTAGGAGTGGGATTGCTGGGTCATATGTAAGTATTTATTGAACCTTATCAGAAATTGCTAAACTGTTTTCCAAAGCATCTATGCCATTTTATATTTGCACCAGAAGTGTATCATGATGCTCTTGCTCTATGTTCTTGTTAGCTCTTGTTATTGTCAGTTTTTAAAACATTCTAGTCAAATTAATAGACATGTGGTAATATCTCACTATGGTTTGAATTTTCAATTCCCTAGTAACTAATGAGTTTGAGCATCTTTTCATCTGCCTGTTTGCCATCTGTGTATCTTTAACGGAGTGTTTGTTCAAATCATTTACCCATGTTTAAAAACCACGTTGTTTTTCTTGTTGAATTTTGAGAGTTCTTTGTAGACATTGCCTTTCTATATAAATGTTAGGACTATCTTGTCAACTTCTACAGCAAACTTGCTGGGATTTGAATTGGGATTGCCTTGAATCTGTACATCAACTTTGGAAAAACTAGTGTCTTTGTAGTATTGACCTTCCAGTTCATAGACATGATCTATCCATTTATTTTTGTTTTCTTTGATTTCTTTAATCAGTGTTTTATAGTTTTCAGCATATTATACTGTATGTACTTCATTAGAGTAATGTTTACACCCGAGCATTTTATTTTTGCAGCTGTCGTGAATAGTATTATTTTTTAAATTTTTATTTCCAGTTGTTCATTGCTAGTATATAGAAACATAGTTGGTTTTTACGTGAATCCTGTGACCTTGCTAAACTCACTTAATAGTTCTAGATGCTTTTTTTGGGTCAATTCTTTGAGATTTTTAAAAACATAAAAGCATGTTATCTGCCAAAAGAGACATAGCTATATTTTGTCCTTTTCAATCTGTATGCCTTGCTTTCTTGTCCTCGCTAGGACTTTTGATTGTGACGTTGAATAGGACATAGGACTGATGAGAGAGCAGGCATCCTTCTTTACCTTATTCCTGACCTGAACAGAAACCATTCAGGCTTTTACCCTAAAGTATGATGTTAGCTGTAGGAATTTTGTAGATCCTCTTTATCAAGTTAAGGAAGTTTGCTTTCTATTTCTAGTTTGCTGAAATTGTTTTAAGTCATACGTGGATATTGAATATTATGGAATACTTCTTATGCATCTGTTGAGATGTCCTATGGTTTTTCTTAGTCTGTTAAAATGGCAGATGATATCGGTTGATTTTTGAATGTTGAACCTGCTTTGTATTCTTGAGATGCATATCACATCGTTGTGGGGTGTTTTTTTTTTTTTATATTGCTGGATCCCGTTTGGTAACAGTTAAGAAGTTTTGTGTCTGTGCTCTTGGGGATTATTGGTACTCTTTTACATTCCTACCAACAGTGTATAACTTTTAATATCTTTGTCTGATTTTGATATCAAAGAAATCCTTGACTTACAAATGAGTTGCAAAGTATTTCCTTCTCTTCTGTTTTCTAGAAGAAATGGTGTAAAATTGGTAGTATTTTTTACTTAAATTCTTGGTGCAATTCATCAGTGAAATTACTTGAACCTTCAGTTTTCTTTTTTGGAAGTACTTTACAGACTCCATTTCTTTCCTAGATACAGTAGTATATCCAGATTACCTGTTTTTTCCTGAGTGGTAGTTTTGATCTATTAAAGAACTGGTCTTTTTCATCTAAGTTACACAAAGCTAAGCATTAGCAGACTGAAGCCCACAGGCCAGCCACCTCTTTTTGTGAATAAAGTTTTATTGGAACACAGCCATGCCTGTTCATTTGCTTATTGTCCATGGCTATCTTTGCACTATAATGGCAGACTGGAATAGTTATGACAGAGACCATGTGACCAACAGATTTTAAATATTTGCTGTTTGCCCATTATAAAAATACTTGTTCGCATCTGATCTGAGTTGTCACATACCTGGGCTTAGGGTTGTTCATAATGTTCTTTTATCAGCCCTTTAGTGTCTATAGGGTCCGTAGTGATATCTCTTCATTCATTCTTAAAATTGGTAATTTGTGTTCTCTTTTTAAAATCAGCTTGGCTAGAGGTTTATCAGTTTTATATATCTTTTTGAAGAGACAGCTTTTGGTATGATTGATTTGCTCTATGGTTTTTCTGTTTTCAATTTCATTGATTCCTGCTCTTATCCTTATATGTTCTTTCCTTCTGCCAAATTTAGGTTTAATTTGCTCTTATTTTTCTAGTTTCTTGAAGTGAAATGTTATATGTTTGATTTTAGTTCTTATTTCTAATATAAGCATTTAATGTCATACATTTCTCTCCAAGCTACATTCCACAAATTTTTGGTATGTTGTATTTTTACTTCAGTTAATTCAAGATGTTTTCTAACTTGCCTGTCTTTGACTTACGGACGATTTAGAAGTGAGTTGTTTGCTTTCCAAATATTTGAGAATATTCTACATAATCTGATACTGATTTCTGGTTTAAGTAAATTACAGTCAGATAACTTTGTGATTTTATTTTTTTTTTAATTTAAAGTTTGTTTTATGATAAAGTTTGATTTATATATGTAGTATATCTTGTTGAATGTTCCATGTGTACTTAAAAAGACTTTGTGTTCTGCCATTAGTGAGTAGAGTGTAAATTAGGTAAAAACATAGTATCATTCAGGACTTCTGCATCCCTGCCAATTTTCTGTCTGCTTATTCTATTTGTTACCGAAAAAGGGGTGTTGAAATAACCATCCAAGTATAATGTTGGATGTGTCCTATTTTTCTTTCAGTTATTGCCTCATATATTTTGAAGCCCTGTTTTTAGATAGGTATACATTTAATATTGTTACTTCTTTGTGGTGAATTTATTCTTTTATCATTATATGACAGTCCTCTTTTTCATGGATGTCCTTGTTCTGAAGTTTACTTTGTCTATTTATATTCATTTTTCTTTGGTTAGTATGCATGATACTTCTTCTCCTATCCTTTTAACTGACCTTATATATATCATTATATTTATAGGTGTTTCTTATAGATAGCATATATTTGGACTGTAGCTTTTTGAAATCCAGTCTAATAATCTGTATGGTTTTACTGATATATTTGAACCATTTACATTTGCTCTAATTATTATTAAATAGTGGGCCTAATATTTTATTAGTTGCTTTGTGTTGATCTCTTCTGTTTTTTTTTTCTCTCTTCACCCTTTCCTGCCTTCTTTTGTGTTATATGATATATTTAATATTAAATTTAAAGTTTTTCTCTGACTCTGTCTACTGACTCTTTCTTTTTTTGTGTTTGTGTGTGTGTTTTTTAGGGATTTATATAATACCTACCACTTCACAGCCTTTAAGATAGTATTTTATCACTTGAAGAAAATCTGAAATTAAGATAGCATTTTATCACTTGAAGAAAATCTAAAAGTCCTATAACCAAATAGACTTGTTTACTGTCTCCTCTTCATAGTTTTTATATTTATTACATCTACATACATAAAACATCATTTTAATTTTTGCTTTCAACAGTCATTCTAATTATAAAGAAGTTAAGCAGAGACAAATCATCTGTCATATTTATCCAGATATTTATCATTTCTTTAGCTCTCTCTTTATTCTTAAAGTTCCAAGTTTTCTTTTTCCATTATTTTCCTTCAACCTGAAGGATTTCTTTTAGCATTTATTTTAGAGAACATTTTCTGCTGATAAAGTCTTTTTCTCTCTCTCTTTTTTCCTTCACTGAGAATGTCTTTATTACCCCTTTATTTCCAAATGTTATTTTATTGGATATAGACTTTCATTGGATAGAATTTAAAATCTTTAAGGATTTTTTTTTCCGTTGTCTTCTGGCTTCCATCATTCATGATGAGAAATTGGACTCATTTGCGTCGCATTTTCCTGTAGAGGGGTCATGTGTTGATTTTCTTTTTTTTTTTTTTTTTTTTTATTGGGGGGAAAAAAAGTCAGTTTATTTGATGTGTTTCTTAGTAATGGAATTGTGGGGAAGAACAAAAGCGGGCTCTGGGACTCACATTGCTTTGGGGGAGGCTAAAGCTTCCCAGAATCCCTTGTCCCTCCCCACTTTGGGCACTTAGGGGTGGGGCTGGGGAGTGAGAGGGACAAGGCAGGGAATGATTGATTAAAGCTAACGAGCAGACAGAAGGCACTGGTGGGTCATATCTCGGGCCTGGAAGAGGGAGGGCGTGGGCCAGGCCCCATGTAACACCAGGGGCTCCTTGGCATCCAGGCTTGGCCTCTAGTCCTTTCCCTTCCCTTTCTTGGCTCTGGCCTTGGCTTTGGTCTTGGGGGTGCAGGGCTTGGTGACGCGGATGGTCTCCTGTCACTGGGCATTGTAGCGCGCCTTCTTCAGGGTGCCTTGGCGGACTTTGATGCCTGTGCCCCCATCACACGCACCCCAGTTCTCAAACTTGTACTTGCAGTCAGCTCCAAACTCCTTCTTCCAGTTGCAGGGCACCCTGCACCGGATGCGCTGGGTCTGGGCCCCGCAGGTGCCCTCGCGGAAACCCACGCCGCAATCCTTGCTGCTGGGGGTGCAGGGCCCCCAGGCCCACTCCGCACACTCGCTCCCCGGGCCGCCCTTCTTCACCTTGTCTTTCTTTTTGGCCACTGCGGAGGTGAGCGCCAGCAGGGCGAGGAGAGTGAGAAGGAGGAAGCCTCGGTGCTGCATCTCGCTCGCTGCCCGCGCTGCTTCGCTCCCTCCCGCGGCCGGGCCCGTCCCGCTCCGGCCGCCGCGGCCCCTTTTGTCTCCAGAACCGCATGTGTTGATTTTCTCCGGCTAGTCTCAAGATTGTTTTTCTTTATTTTTGATTTTTGGCAGTTTCATTATTGCGTGGGTGTTCTTTTCTTTGAGTTTATTTTGCTTGGGATTTGATGAACTTCTATAAGGAAGTTTTCAGCCATTCTTTCTTTAAATATTTTTTTCTGTACCAATCTCTTTCTCTTTCTTCACTCATTGTTTGACTGCAGTGACATGAATATTAGATCATTTGATATTGTCCCAAATATCTTTGAGCTCTCTTCTCCTATTGTTCATTTTGTTTTCTCTACGAGATCATTCTGTCTTCCAGTTTGAGTCTTTTTTTTTTTTTTTGAAATGGAGTCTGGCTCTGTCGCCCAGGCTGGAGTGCAGTGGCCGGATCTCAGCTCACTGCAAGCTCCGCCTCCCGGGTTTACGCCAGTTTGAGTCTTTTTGCTGTCATCTACGTTTTGTTGTTTTTACCCATCTAGTGAATTTTTTAAAAAATTTCAATTATTGTACGTTTCAAGTCTAAAATTCCAATTTTTTCCAAAATTTTTACTTCTAAAAATGTCTGTCTTTTCATTCATTTCAACAGTGTTCCCATTTACTTAGGGAGCTGCTTTACAGTGGTGTCTGATAATTCCAACATCTGAATCGTCTGGGGGTTGGCATCTATTGATTATGTCTTTTCTGCTTGGTTAGTATGATAAATAATTTTGGATTATATCCTGTGTATTTTGTTTGTTTGTTTGTTTGTTTGTGTTTTTTTTTTTTGAGATAGGCTCTTGCTCTGTTGCCCAGGCTGGAATGCAGTGGCGTGATCTCTGCTCACTACAACCTCCGCTTCTCAGGTTCAGGCAATTCTCTTGCCTCAGCCTCCCAAGTAGCTGGGATTACAGGTGCCTGCCACCATGCCTGACTAATTTTTGTGTTTTTAGTAGAGATGGGGTTTCACCATGTTGGCCAAGCTGGTCTCAGACTCCTTCCTGACCTCCAGTGATCTGCCCACCTTGGCCTCCCAAAGTGCTGGGATTACAGATGTGAGCCGCTGCGCCTGGCCCTATATCCTATGCATTTTAAACATTATATTGTGAGATTCTGAATCTTGTTAAAATCTACTGGAAAAATTTGAAAATTTTTTCCTTTCCTTTTTGTTTTGTTTTCTTTAAAAAGCGGATAGTCAACCAAATCAGGCTCAGAGGGCAAGTCTGTCCTGCCTCTTGTGAGTGGTGGTAACGGTATCAGTTTAGTTTTCAAAGCCTTTGCTATGCTGTTTGTATCTGCCCCACATACACACTTTTCAGGAGTTAGTATGGGACTTGCGTGGTTCTTTAAGTTGTAGTTTAATTCTCAAAGCCATGTTTCTTTGGGTGTGTTTTATGCATGAGCATATCCTGGGTGAGCCTGGGACTTGTACTGATGCCTACACAGATTTATAGGATCTCTTTTTGAACTCTCTTCTCTCTGGGATTTCTTTCACACCCTTGATCTCGGGGGTCCTTTTGCCCAGGTCTCTTGTCAGAAGATGGATATGTCTGAGAGCTTTACCCTCCCACACCACATACGTGATTTTGCTATTTTGCAGTTCTTCATAACTGGGGCTGGCCTCAGAGCAAAGCAAGAGAAAAGGAAGATAAAAATAATCAGAGGCCGGGTGTGGTGGCTCCAGCCTGTAATCCCAGCACTTTGGGAGGCTGAGGTAGGCGGATTGCCTGAGCCCAGGAGTTCAAGACCAGCCTAGGCAATGTGGCGAAACCCCATCTTTACTAAAAATACAAAAATTAGCCAGGTGTGGTGGTGCATGCCTGTTGTCCCAGCTACTTGGGAGGCTGAGGCAGGAGGATTGATTGAGCCTGGAAGGTTGAGGCTGTAGTGAGCCATGATCATATCATTGAGCAAAACCCTATCTCAAAAAAAAAAAAAAAAAAATCAGAACCTCACCTCTAGTGCCAGCTACTCAGAAGGCTGCGGCGGGAGGCTCGACTGAGCCCAGGAGTTTGAGAGCAGCCTAGGCAATGTAGCAAGACCCCATTTCTCAAAAATAAATAAACAAATAAAATCTCCCTTACACTTTCTAGACCATAGAACCCTTTTATTCCCACTTTCGTTGACCAGGGAGAAGGGTTATTTCTTGGGATTTTAGGGGCTCATATTGCCTAGCAGTAGTGTAACCTCGTGACTAGGGCTGGCCTTAGAGCAGGGCAGGTAGAAAGTAAGAGAGAGAGAGAAAAAAAAAATACCTGGGCTCTTCCACCTGACTCTACACTTTCAGGGACTGCTTGTCTCAGTCCTCTGGCCAGAAAAAGGGGATTTTTCTTGGAATTTTGGTGTCTTCTTCCAGGGTGCAGTTCCTTGACTTGACTTGCTTTTTTATTTTATTTTATTTTATTTTATTAATTAATTAATTTATTTATTTTGAGAGGGAGTCTTGCTCTGTTGCTTAGGCGGGAGTGCAGTGGTGTGATCTTGGCTCACTGCAAGTTCTGCCTCCCAGGTTCAAGCGATTCTCTTGCCACAGCCTCCTGAGTAACTGGGACTACAGGTGGCTAATTTTTTTCTTTCTTTTTTTTTTTTTGTATTTTTAGTAGAGTCGGAGTTTCACCATGTTGGTCAGACTGGTCTGCAACTCCTGACCTCAAATGATCTGCCTGTCTCAGCCTCCCAAATTGCTGAGATTATAGGCGTGAGCCACTGCACCCGGCTTTGACTTGCTTTTGGATCAAAGTCAAGAGATAAAGGAGGAAAATTAATCCAGGAAACTTACAATGGATATTTCTTCAACTTTTGACTTCTCTCTCAGTCTCCCTGATACTGTTTCCTTTGCAGAACCTCAAGGAGTTGGTTTTTGTATTCTGTGCAGAAATTTAACCTGTAATTAGTGGGCGGCATGGGTTTAGTGGGCTTGCTCCATCTCGGCTGGTCCTGCATGTCGTATGTCCCCGCTATTTAGAACAAATAGTAGCATAATATTTTTTGGCGCTCGATTTTTAAAAACTTTTTTATTTGGCCATTAGTAGCAATGACAAGTCAAATAACAGTTATCTAATTCTTACTAAGGGCCAGGCATTGTTCTCAGCATTATCCTTATAGTAACCCATTTAATCATCGCAGTAACCCTATTAGGTGGGTGGTGTTAGTCACATTTTAGAGATGATGTTACCTCCTTGGAGGAATTAAGTCATTTGCCAGGGTCACATAGCTACTTAGTCAAGGAATGATCTAGGTTGTGTGGCTCAGAAGTCCACAGACATAACTACAATGATACAATAAGAGGAAGCATGTTAATATCTTAACACTTGACTGTCACATATTAGCACATGCTAGCTAGAAAAGTGCCTCAGCGATGAATGTACAAGTCACTTTCAGAATGAAGTGCCTGGTTAGTGCCTCACATTGATCATCCTAAAGTAAGAATTATATTCATTCTGCATGTAGGAAATCTGAGAAAATTCAGGTGGCTTGCGAAAGAGGTGCCAATAGAATTCTATAGCACAGACAAGCGTGATTTCAGTGACTGCTGCTGTCCTTTCTGGAAGGTGTGGTACATTTGTAGGCAGCAAATCTTGGAATAGTAGAATCATAGGCGATCAGAGTTGGAAGAGACTCACGGGGTCTAAGCCCACCTCCTGATTTTAACAATCACACCCATCATGGGTAGGGAGGCACCATGTCAAAAGTAAAATGATTTGTGAGTGTCAGGTGTTATAGATAAGGAAACAGCTCTAGACAGGTAAAGTGATGAAATCCTCACTTTTTTTTTTTTTTTTCTTTTTGGAGACAGGGTTCCTTTCTGTCACCCAGGCTGGACTGCAGTGATATGATCATGGTTCGTTGCAACCTCAAACTCCTAGGCTCAAACAATCCTCCTGCTTAAGCCTCCTGAGTAGCTGGGACTACAGGTGCATGCCGTTACACCTGGCTAATTTTCTTATTTTTTGTAGAGATAGTGTCTCACCATGTTGCCCAGGCTGGTCTTGAACTCCTGGACTCGATAATGTCTCCCCTTGTTGCCCAGGCTGGTCTTGAACTCCTGGTCTCAAGCAGTCCGCCCGTCTTGGCCTCCCAAAGTGCTGAGATTACAGGTGTGAGCCCCTGTGCTTGCTCTCTCATCTTCACTCTCATCGTCATAGCTGCATTTGTAAGGCACAGATGTCCCAAGCGCCCTGCAGGGCACATCTCTGATGTTAAAAATCACCCTGCAAAGTAGGTAGCATAATTCTCAGTTTTTTCATAAGAGGGAACAAATACTCAGAGAGAGTGGACCGCCTTCCCAACCAGGGTGGCGCACTGGGGTCAGGGTTCATGGATTCTTCTTTACTGAGGACGTCTTACCTATGGGTACCCGCCATGTGCGAATGCTATGTGTAATCACCATGGAGTGTCTTGTCCACATTGGCACAGTTTTCTGGGTGCAAAGGGGCACTAGGAATAATTATACTGGGATTGTCCTGGCAAATTGGGACAAAGGGGTTCCCCTCCCTATGAATCTGTATTTCTGGATTGCATGATTTCTATTGACCATGAGTTTGCTTGATTTAGATGACATACATGCTGTAGATGGCTGGTGCTTGTGAGTGTTTAGTAGCGGGTCTGTGAGTCTGTTTTCTCAGGTCATAGAGATGAACCACACAGCACTGGGTGGTCCCTTACTCCGTGTACAGTGGCCACACACAAATTTTGTTCGTGGTGACTGAGCAAGAAAGTCTCTTTTAAGCAAATGTAATTTAAAAATACAAGTGCTGGGAAAAGTCATGAAGAAAGCCCTTAAGGCAATATATATTATAATGAATTTTTTTTCCACGGCTAGATACCCATGAGCCTTTCAGGATGAATATGATTAAATATGGGCAAGAATAGATAAGAAGCCTTTTTTCCCCATATTACACTGGGATGAATGTGGATCTCTTGTCATATACTTCATGGAGGTAAGGTTTTGGAAATGGAAACAAATGTGAATTTTCTCTTATAAACTCATGAAAAAGACATTAAGCCAACTGGCCACCCCGTATGAAGCTCGATGGTGTGCCTGTGATATACGTAAGCATACAATGTTTACTGTGATTCTAAGGGAGGGAATAGTATCCCTGCTCTGTGTAAGCGGAAGCTGCCATTCAGGGTAGTTAAGACATTTCCCAAATCTGCGCAGCTGATGAGCTCTGGTGTTGGGATTTGGATCAAGGTCTGGCTGGCTCCCAAGGCCATGCATTCCTCAGCGCTGCCCCCGCTGAACCCGGTGGCTGTTGGCATCAACACAGGAACACAGTGAGGCTGCTCCCTTCAGGCTGTGAGTGGAGAGGCCCAGACAGGCTGAACTCTCAGATGGACATGAATATCTTGTTTGGGGAAAGCACG